TATGGTTCACCCACACACACACAGATATAGTATCATAGATTTGAAAGGGACCCCTAAAGAAGGACAATTATATATTCCATATTCCAGAGTAGGCAAACCAGACCATCTACACATCAACACTGACAAAGAAACAACAAGAAATTACATATATTAGAAACCCACACTTGCACATTACTTTATTTTCCAGATCACCAGACTGGGCCACAGCAACGCCTGGCAGGGACAGCTAGTCTATATAAATAAAAATGCAATGTTTGTTTGTGGTATTAACATAGCTCAAAAACCACTGGACGAATTGACACCAAATTTGGACACAATACACCTATCAAGCCAATGAGTGTCCATCACCCCTAAAAACACACACACACAAAAACCCAGCAAAATGGACTTAAACCCCCCCAAAATAAACTATATTCATATTCACATACACTCATATGAGAGGACTACCATGTCCCATAGCTTCTTGGTCTCACCAGGCATGGATCCACAGGCGGCCTGCTGCCAATACCAGCTATCCACTAACGGACCACGGTATCTGCACTTCGGGTTTCCACTAGCCACGGTCTGGGTCCCACTATCCACGACTATTCACATATATGTACATAATGACATATCTTGGAGGTGGGACCCAAGTCTAAACACAAATTCATTCATGTTTTCATGTTTCATATACACCATCTACACATAATCTGAAAGTAATTTTATATAAATTTAAAATGATTTTGTGCACAAAACAAAGTCTGTGTACATAGAACCATCACAAACCAAAGGCGTAACTACCTATATGGGCAATTTTTGTAGTATTTTAGTTTTCCAAGTAAGTGATATCCTAGTATTGGAAGATAAAGACAAGCATACAATATTGTTTTAAAATAACATACGGTACATAATCAGATATAATTTTGTACCAAGAACTGAACACAGTTCCTCTTTTTTATGCTGATGCCAACATTCTGTTCAAAAGAAAGAAAGAAAAGAAAAAGGAAACCACATCCTTTGTGCACGTGTTAAAGATTAAGATGGCAAAAATGTTTAAATGGGGGGGGGGGGGAATCCCTGAAACCAAGCAAACTAGGAAAAGTAGAAAAAGAGTATTAATACAGCTATGTCCTGCTTTACTTTGGACTTGTATTTTTGTAGCTGTGAAAATATATTATTTGTCCTCTGACCTTATAATATATGTGATAGACTCTCTGTAAATCAAAACTCTGCAGGCACATTTTAGCAACTGGCAAGGTTTCATTTGTGGAGAGAGAGAAAACTGGGTATAAGTAAACATAATAATAATAGTCATCATCATCATCATCATCATCATCACACTTATGTAGTGATATTGACAGACTTTAACCTGCCCAGAAAATCAGGAAGCAGAGGGTTTCTGCAAGTGAAACAAATGATAGAAGAAGAGAAACTTGCACTGGCAGATTATGTGAAAGGCAGTCAAGAACCAACATTGATGGAAGTCAATAGTAGAAAACTGCTTCAAGTGCAAAAGACAAAGAGTGAATACTGTAAAAACACAATCCAGAACAGAAGAGAAAACTGGCAAAAGAAGCCTCTCCATGGACGGTTCCTGGGAAAAATTGAGAGCAAAATTGACAAAGAAAACCATGGCTGTGGCTCACAAATGGAACTTTGAAAAAGGAGGTGGAGGGCCTGGTTCTTGCAGCTCAAGAACAAGCAACTGGAACCAATGCCATCAAAGCCAGAATTGAAAATTCACCAACAGATTTCAAGTGTAGACTCTGCAAGGAAGGAGACGAAACGATGGATCACATCCTCAGCTTCTGCAAGAAGATTGCGCAGACAGACTACAAGCAGAGGCATAATACCATTGCTCAGATGATCCACTGGAACTTGTGCCACAAACATCATCTGCCCATGACAAAGAACTGGCGGGATCACAAGCCTGAAAAGTTACAGAAAATGAACATGTCAAACTACTATGGGACTTCCGAATTCAGACTGACAGAGTATTGGAGCACAATACTCCTGACCTCACGATTGTGAGGGAAAACAAAGTATAGATCGCCGATGGTGCAATCCCAGGTGACAGCAGAATTGATGAGAAGCAACTGGAAAAGCTGACGTGATACAAGGATTTAAAGATCAAACTGCAAAGACTCTGGCACAAGCCAGTCAAGGTGGTCCCAGTGGTGATCACACACTGGGTGTAGTGTCTAAAGACCTTGACCTGCACTTAAAAACAATTGGCGCTGACAAAATTATCACCTGTCAGCTGCAAAAGGCCACCTTTTGCACACATTATTCGCTGATACATCACACTGTGCTAGACACTTGGGAAGTGTCCTACATGTGATCCAGTACAAAAGCTAGCATAGTGAACTAGTTTGCTGTGTACTAATCTTGTTGTGTATTAAATAATAATAATAATAATAATACATGACAATTCAGTGACTGAGGGGGAAAAAGAAAGGGCCTGAGGCTGTTAAGAATACTGGGAGTTGGAGTCCAAAACACCCAGAGGGCCAAAGTTTGCCCATGCCTGGTGTAGACTTATATAATCCAGTTCAAAGCAGATAATCTGAATTTAGAAACTAGTTTATATGGCAATGGAGATCCAGCTTAAATCTCATTGTCTTCCAAGTAGAACTCTTACATTAAACAAGGTTTCTAGAGGATGCAGCCACAGCAAATTAAAATGGATCCATAGTGCAATAATTGTGTGACATGAAAAGGTCTCCAATGTATTAATCACACTGCCTGGAAGCAATGGGGTTAGTGGTCCACTATATATGAGGAATATCAGGTTGGAGGAAACTGATTTATGGGGCATCTATACTGTGGAATTAATGTAGTTTGGCACAGTTTTAAGAGTCATGTCGCAATGCTACGAAATCCTGGGAGTTGTTTGACGAGACATCAGTAGTCTTTGGCAGAGAAAGTAAAGGTCTTGGAAAACAGCAACTCCATGATTTCATAGCATTGAGACATAGCAGGTAAACTGAGGCAAATTTAGGCTAATGGTGTGACCCAGTTTGAGCTTCCTACATGCCTTGATATTGCATCATATGTTGCATATCCCTGAAGCCGCACATGGATCTGAGGTTGAATGACTTCTCTTTTCTCGCTATAAGAAAGTGGCATGAATATACAATGTATATACAGTCTACTTCTCTGTAAATTAGTCTCTTGGTTAGCTGTACTAAATGCAAGAGAAGACTCTCACAACTTTATACAGCTCTTTGTCAGTCTGAAAAACCCTTAACCAGTCCTTAAAGCTTGGTAAGTGTCTGCAATTTTGTGTACGGATAATTGCACCAGATTATTTTCACACATCCTGCTGATTACAACATTGTCATCTCTAAAGTCATTTCATGTCCTGGGTTCCTCCTTTGTAAAACTGTATCTTTTCATGCAAAGCGGAAGCTCTTTTTGTTCTACAGCAGTGCTTCTTAGGTTTATCTGATGTTGAGGAGAGAAAGTGGCTTTCCCCCTCAATGAATCATGGACTGACACACCATATTCGTGCTCAGTGACTACAACTTCATCTTTCTTTACTGGAAACTTCCAGTGTATGGGTAGCCAATAGCTCATGGACCAGGGCTACAACACACAAATACTTCAAGCTTTTGGCTGCAATCTCATGTGACTTTGAGCATCACATCACATAAGGGCATTTAGGGTGTTTACAAGTAGGACTTAAATCCTGCAACCACTCTGCCTCTTCTATAGTTTTATTTGACAGGCAGAGAGAGGTCTTGAAAGTCATTTGGAAGCTTCCCGTTTCTTCCAACTGCTTTTTTATTACATACACATGCTAATGAAGAAGAAAAATAAAAGGTTGCCCCATGTATTTTGATTGGTAGCACTAGGTTACACAAGAGAAAATGTACATCATTGTGTTGTTAATGCAAATGTATGTCGGCTTCAACCTTATTTTCCATCTTCAACGCTATGATACTTCATCTTGTTAATGGGAAGCTTCCCACTGGAGTGGAAATCATCTATTGGGCAGATGGCAAGCTATTTAACCTCAGCAGACTGAAAGCCAAAGCCAAGGTTACAACAACATCTGTTATAGAACTCCAGTATGCTGATAACAACGTCGTCTGTGCCCATTCAGAGGAAGACCTACAAGCCACTCTAAATACCTTTGCAGAAGCATACGAGAAGCTCGGCCTATCATTGAACATTGAGTAAACCAAAGTCCTCTTCCAACAGTCACCTGTGTTTTTACGAATTCCCTGCAAATAACTTGCTCCTATTTTTATCTCATTAGAGTCTTTTAATCGTTTTATCCTGTACATGTGGCCCGCCCATTGTTATTGTGCTTATTGTTGGAATGTTATTTTATGACTCTGTGTGTGTGTGTGTGTGTGTGTATCCCTTTGTGTAATTTTGATGATGTTGTTTGTTGGGTTGTTGTAGGTTTAGAGGCATTCTCTCCTGACATTTCGCCTGCATCTATGGCAAGCATCCTCAGAGGTAGTGAGGTCTGTTGGAACTAGGAAAAGGGGTTTATATATCTGTGGAATGACCAGGGTGGGACAAAGGACTCTTGTCTGCTGGAGGTAGGTGTGAATGTTTCAACTGACTACCTTGATTAGCAATATAATGGCCTGACAGTGCCTGGAGCAAACTGAAGAGGGACTCAGGACGGCAACCAACTGGCACTATTCAGTGCCAAAACAGAATAAAACATAGCATAAAATACAATTAACACAAGTAAAACAATTATAAATATAAATTAAAGCAATTCACTGGTTTAAAGATACAATCCCACTTTCCATTTCAAGCAACAAGACAATCTTGGGTTAGTTCTGGCTTATCATAATCACCCTGCAATCTCTGCTTTTAGTTTGTGAAAAGCTACCTCCATGCACCAAGACAGATAAAAAGGTGTGGTCTGCAGCTGATATCAAACCAACACATCTGATTATATTAATGTCCCGTCATGCTTCAGCTTAGCTGTGAGGCCATCAGAAATGTTCCGTGCTGCAATCTAAAGGGAAACGATCACTTCCTCTCTTTGCGGTTTGTCTGGCCGTATTACTAGAAAAAAGTTGAGCAGAACATCCTGACAGTCCTGTCGCCAACATGGACCAAGAAATTGTGGCGCACATTGTCCTTCTGGTCATTGTCACTCTTTTAAGTGTCATCCAAAATGGTAAGTGTGTATTTGAAACTTCGGGAAGCAAGAGCGAAATGCCTTTTCATTCCGCATCAAAGAAGGAAAGACAAATCACCCTTCTTTCATGCATTTATTTTTGAGTCATGAGTTTGTGAACAACATCTAATTTCAGAATTTCTCTCATAATGCTTTCTCTATGACTTGATTAGTTAGCGTTGAATCTGGTGCTTTTAGTGTCCGTCTCCAGACATTTCAGTTTGGACTAATGGTTTTTAACCTTAAATTAATGTAAAACAGAAAGGGGGCCAATCTGTTTCCATTTTTTGGCTGAAACCAGCTAATATTGCTAGTTCTTTAAACATTACTTCAATTTATTGCAAGAGAATCACAGTGAGAGGAGCTGGTATATGACTGTTAACAGAAATGGTTGTTCCAGTAAGTTGAGATTAATTGAATGATCTATAAGAGCTAATCCAGCACAAATACTTAGGTTTTCAAATAGGTAATTTTACCACCATGTCATCTGACACATTCAGACATTATTTACACCAATGTTTGAGATAGTGAACAATTTTCAGGGGAACAGTCAGCAGGCAGGGCTGATACTTTACCTAGCATCAGTAAAGTTGACCATCAGAAGATCATCATAGTAAAGGTTTTTACCTGACATTATGTCTAGTTGTTTCCAACTCTTGAGGGTACTGCTCATCTCCATTTCTAAGCTGAAGAGCCGGTGTTGTCCATAGACACATCCAAGGTCATGTGGCTGGCATGACTTCATGGAGCGCCGTTACCATCCCTTCTAAGGAGCCCCCAGTGGCACAATGATTTAAACCCTTGTGCCAGCAGGACTGAAGACTGACAGGTTGGAGGTTCGAATCCAGGGAGAACGTAGATGAACTCCTTCTGTCAGCTCCAGCTCTCCATGCGGGGACATAAGAGAAGCCTCCTACAAGGATGGTAAAATATCAAAACATCTGGGTGTCCCCTGGGCAACGTCCTTGCAGATTACCAATTTTCTCACACCAGAAGCGACTTGCAGTTTCTCAAGTCGTTCCTGACACACACACACACACACACAAAACTCGACTGAGCGTTGATTTGCATGTTTTCGAACTGCTAGGTTGGCATAAGCTACCTTAGACTAGCTCAAACATTTATGACTTTTCTGAACTGATTGCCAACAAGTCATCTGGTTTCAGGCATATCCAGCCCTATGTGGATATTACAGGGACTAAATCTAGATAGGACTTTTATCTTGATTGATCAAACTAATACTATGGTTACAGAATAAAAATGCATTATAAATTTGAGGAGTTTATAAATAACATGTTAATGTACAATACTCTTTTGCTTATATCATGCACTGGGTAACAGAATACTGCTTTGAAATGTGGTCGACTCTGTTTCCTTGGAGATATTAAAAGAGAAATTGAATTGCCATCTTTCAGGGATGCTTTAGCCAAGGACTTCTCATTGTTACATAGGTGTAATACTCTGAGGAAGAACATGGGAGAGAGATTTCTTTGCTGCAGAACACTGGGCACAGTATATCTTCCCCTTAGTAAAGGCAAGTAAAGGACTGGACATTAAGTCCAGTCATGTCTGACTCTGGGCCTTGGTGCTCATCTCCATTTCTAAGCCGAAGAGCCAGCATTGTCCGTAGACACCTCCAAGGTCATGTGGCCGGCACGACTCTCTGCCCCGGAGTGTGGTGGAGGCTCCTTCTTTGGAAGCTTTTAAGCAGAGGCTGGATGGCCATTTGTCAGGGGTGATTTGAATGCAATATTCCTGCTTCTTGGCAGGGGGTTGGACTGGATGGCCCATGAGGCCTCTTCCAACTCTTTGATTCTATGATTCTATGATTCTATGACTGCATGGAGTGCCGTTAACCTTCCCACCGGAACGGTACCTATTGATCTACTCACATTTGCATGTTTTCGAACTGCTAGGTTGGCAGAAGCTAGGGCTGACAGCGGAAGCTCACGCCGCTCCCTGGAATCGAACCTGCGACCTTTTGATCAACAAGCTCAGCAGCTCAGTGCTTTAACCCACTGCGCCACCGGGTGCTCTTACAGGACCAATATTAGTCTCATTCTGACACAAAGACAAAACTTTCATACTATAGATTTTGGGGCCTAATTGATGTCATCCAAATTTGTGCATGTATATTTTATTTATTTTAAATGGTCTTGTTTTAATTGGCTAATGATTTAATATGCTTTCATTATTCCTATTGTTTTATACTTTTCTAAATTGTATGCCATCTTGAGACCCTTGGATATAGGGCAGGAAAAATACCGTGATGAGGGCCCCTGGTGGCACAGTGGGCTAAACCACAGAGGTGCTGAACTTGCTGACCGAAAGGTTGGCGGTTCGAATCTGAAGACTGGGGTGAGCTCCCACTGTTAGCCCCAGCTTCTGCCAACCTAACAGTTCAAAAACATGTAAATGTGAGATCTATAGGTACCACTTCTGCAGGAAGGTAATGGTTCTGCATGCAGTCATGCTGGCCACATGACCTGGAAGTGTCTACGGACAACGCCAGCTCTTCGGCTTAGAAATAGAGATGAGCACCATCCCCCATAGTCAAACACGACAAGACTTAATGTCAGGGGAAACCTTCATCTTTACTTATATGCAATTATAGAATCATAGAGTTGGAAGAGATCACAATTGCTGCTGCCTGTATCCTTTCCCCTACCCCAATTTTCCCATCCCAGAATATAAATCCACCTTTGGCTCTTAAATGGTATAGATGTTTCCTAAAAGATAGTTCTCAATCTGGTATGATCTGGGATCTCCAATCAAGCCAGATTCTTACAGACTGGATATTAAATTATTTTGTATGTGCCAATTTCAGGACTAATATAGGAAACAGAACTGTGCTTGCTATGCACACTCAGTGACTTGCTCTTCATAAGTTCCCAAGAAATGTCAAGGTTTTATTCGGAACTGTTAGAAAACCGCTGTGTATGGGTTTTTGTAAGATTGTTTTTCATCTCACAGGGAAGTGTTAGTCTTCTAGATATGTCAGAAGTTAGCTCTCAGAATCATTTATCAGATGTAGTGGCTGGGACTTCCGAGTGCAAAATATCTGGAGGACCAAATATTTCCTAAACCTCAGCAGGTGCACATAATGCAACAATGCATGCAATGTGTGATCCAGAAGAGCTAGAAATCATGAAATCCACCCACWGCACTATTTGATTGATTTCCCTGAGACCGAAGTTGCCATAAACAAAGGGTATTGGGCAAAATGGATCAGGTAAAGACTCTAAAGCAGTGTTTCTCACAAGGGGGTGTCGGGGGGGGGGGGTCGCCCAAGATCATCAGAAAACACACTATTTTCTGATGGTCGTGGGGGTTCTCTATGGGAAGTTTGGCCCAATTCTATCCTTGGTGGGGTTCAGAATTGTAGGTGAACTATAAATYCCAGCAACTAGAACTCCTAAATGTCAAGGTCTATTTTCCCCAAACTCCACCAGTGTTCACATTTGGCCATATTGAGTATTCGTGCCAAGTTTGATCCAGATCCATCATTGTTTGAATCCACAGTGCTCTCTGGATGTAGGTGAACTACAACTCCAAAACTCAAGGTCAATGCCCACCAAAGCTTCCAGTACCGTAGTTCTGTGTGCCAAGTCTGATTCAATTCCATTTTGGTGGAGTTCAGAGTGCTCTGTGATTGCAGGTTAACTATAAATCCCAGCAAACTACAAGTCCCAAATGACAAAATCAATCCCCTCCCAACCCCACAAATATTCAAATTTGGGCATATCGGATATTTGTACCAAATTTGGTACAGTGAATGAAAATACATCCTGCATATAACATATTTACATGACAATCCATAACAGTAGCAGAATTACAGTTATGAAGTAGCAACGAAAATAATTTTATGGTTGGGGGTCACCACAACATGAGGAACTGTATTAAGAGGTCGCAGCAATAGGAAGGTTGAGAATCACGGCTCTAAATGCATCAGATCCATCTCATCTTAGAAGCAAAGTAGGATTAGTCCTGCTTAGTACTTGGATATTTTTTTCCGTGTCAGCAGCAACTTGAGAAACTTAAATAGGAGACCACCAATGAAAACCAAGTGCTGTAACCTATATTTCTAAGGAAGGACCAAGGTCCTGTATGTTCTCATATGGGAGGAAGTTCATGGGCTAATAACATGAGTAACAACGTTAGTAATATTGCCTAATGACAGTGTTGATGGCAATTTCTGAGAAATCTTTGGGAATATGTGACATGCCAAAGGATGGCAGAAGGGCAAATGTTGTCACTTCTTTAAAGAAAAACAGTAGAAAAAAAACCAGGAAACTACAGACCAGTCAGCCTGACCTCAATATCAGGATAACTGTTATAACCCCATACACGAGAATCTGTATCTTGAATCTTGATGACAATGCAGCAATCGGCAGGAGGCAGCATGGGTTTCTTGAGAACAAAGCCTGCCAAAGTAATTTCATTTTCTTTTCAATCAGCTTACTAGTTTAGTAGATGGTGGGAATGCTGTCATTTACCTGGATTTCAGCAAAGCATTGAAATACAGAATACATATTTTGATAAGCAAACTGAACACAGCCAGGTGATTCTATATTGGAATCATCATCATGGTTGAACTTCATGGTGGCAGGAGGTCTCAAAAGGAGTGCTTCACTGTTCTGTCTCAGGGCCATTATTGTTTAACACAGTGGTTCTTAAAGTGTGCTCCACAGTGCCCTTAGGGCTCCGCAAAGCATACTGAGGGGCTCTGCACTTCCCTCCTCACTCTTTCAAGCTTTTCTTTCTCTTTCCTGCTTCACCTCCTCCCTCGCCCTCCAAAGTCTATTTACCTCACCTCCCTTAATGTCCAGATCCTTTTCCTTTGCCTTCTTTGCTTCCTTCCCACCACTCAGGGGGTGATTAGATTGTGCTTTTCCTGCTGGGCAGAAGGGGGTTGAATTGGATAGTTCATGGAGTTTCTGCTGCAATTGTTGTTGTTGTTACAAAGGCTGGGTGGCCATCTGTGGGTGGTGTTTTGACTGTTTTTCCTGCATGATAGAAGAGGGTTGGACTGAATGGCCCCTGGAGTCTTCCACTGAAATACTGTTAAGTTTATGTTAGTTAAAATTGTTCTTCATTTCAAACATTGGGATCTCAACATTGATTATAGGGGTGGGTGAATGTATGTTGAAGGCCCATAATATAAGAGTAATTCAGTTATATCCTAGTTCAGCTGTTTTGATATATAGGTGTGATTTTTAGTTTATCGCATTTTATATTTCTTGTACTTAACCACTCCCAGCCTGATTCAATCAGTTTTGATATTTATTAAAAATGAAATATTTCTTCATCACTTAGAGTTATTACTAACAGCATGTGAGGCAGTTAACTGTTATTATGTTACTGAAATATTGTCATTTATTATTCAACAGTTCTGCTACACTAATTTCAGTTTTGTCAGCTGATGGAAAGATTTGTGTTGCTATTTAGTATGTCAGGGTTTTTATGCTTATGTTTATTAGTAACTATGTATTTTCCAAAGAAAGGAAAAGTAGGATACCAATATTAAAATAACATGAAAAGCTAAAGGTTGTTTTTTCTTTAACAGTCTTTTTTGCACACAAAGTCGAAGAGGAAAACAAGAACAGAACAGGCAAAACTACCCAGCGAGTATCTTCAGCTGCCTTTGAGCGCATATTTAATGCCAAGTGAGTATTCCTGTATTTTCTACAGGTTGAGTATCCAGTATTCAAAATAATTGGGACAAGAAGCATTTTAGAATTCAGATTTTTTGGGGGGGGATTTTGGAATGCCTGCATTTGCATATAAATACGTCATGAGATGTCTTAGAGATGGAACACATCTAATTTGCATGTGTTTCATATATACCTTTAAAAAGTAGTTTTATGCACAATATTTTAATAACTTTGTGTACATTGAATTGCCAGAAAGTAAAGGAGTCACTTTCTCAGCTGCTTAGGTGGACATTTTCAGATTTTAGGGTATTTTGGATTTCTGGATAAGAGAATTCAACCTGTATTAGAGATGAACATAGATACAATAAATGATACATTCTGGATTGCAGGCTACAATCCTGAAGACAGTTACTGGCAAGTGAAGTAAGTTCAGTTGAACACAATGGCTAAGATCCTATATCAAGCAGGAAGAGTGTAATGGTTTCCTGCACTGTTCCATGTTCTGTCCACATACATTTTTGTGGAAAGATAGGAAGCCAGGGCAATTCTCCAGTCTTTTGTGCCTTGTCCTCAGCTGTCAAAATCCAGGAAAGGTCATTGTTGTTGTTGTTGTTGTTGTTGTTGTTGCTGCTGCTGCTGCTGCTGCTGCTTACAAGATAAGCTATTCAGTGAATGAGTTAGTCTTGAAACCAATTTGGCTCGGTTTAGGCCAGTGGTTCTCTAGCTGTGGGTCCCCAGGCGTTTTGGCCAACAACTCCCAGAAATCCCAGCCAGTTTACCAACTGTTGTGATTTCTGGGAGTTGAAGGCCAAAATATCTGGGGACCCACAGGATGAGAACCTGGTTTAGAGGGAGAAGGGCTTGGGTGGTGCACTTGTAGACAAAGTGCAACCTCTCGTCCCATTCCCTCCGAACTACACCAATTGAATAACCTCACTGCTCTCTTCCTTCTACATCAGTGGTTCTCAACCTGTGGGTCCCCAGGTGTTTTGGCCTACAGCTCCCAGAAATCCCAGCCAGTTTACCAGCTGTTAGGATTTCTGGGAGTTGAAGGCCAAAACATCTGGGGACCCACAGGCCGAGAACCACGGTTCTACACAATATTGGTGGTGGACCGATCTGGGGCTTGAAAGAGGAAGGGTGAGGGGAGATTTGGACGCTGCACAAAAGACTACAGAAGACCACCTTGCACTCCATCCAGAAATGTAAATAAAAGTATCTGGTGAACCAGCATGGCACAGTGGTGTGAGTGTTGAAGTCTGGACACCAAAGTGTGAGTCACCGCTCAGTCATGAAAAGCCACTGTTCCACTATTTCATCTTCTGTCCTTTGTAAAACGGAAGGAAGGAAAAGAGGGGGGGGGGGGGAGGAAGAAGAAGAAGATAGGGAGAAGGAGGAGGAAACACGATTTATAGAGAACAATAATGTCTGAAACCCATTATATAATTAGTGAATGAGGCAAGGATAATGATGGTATGATAAATGTCTCATCTGAAATCATTCTTAAAGTCAAGGTCTACAAATCAACAGAGACCAAGGTGATCGCAAACTGCGATTTCAACTTGCATGAGTTGTGGTGAAGGTGGATATCTTTTTAAAGGTATCCATTTATATGTTGCACAGCTTCACTACAGACTTTAGAATAAGACTAATCTTTTTTGTAACTGTATATCTTTAGACCCACCCAACACATATGCCTTGGAAGGGAAAAACTGGTCCAAGATGTTGTCAATTCCCTGGTGATAAGGGCTTCAGCAAGGACAGGAATCTACAATGCCCTCTGCATTTTGCAGTGCTGATTTTGTCCTGGGATCTGGGATATATTTGGATCTCCTGCAGCTCATTAAAGGGCTTAACATGGAATGCACTGACTATACTTGCAAAATAATTTACATATTTTCACTAGTGTATTGGTGTTTAATACACCAATACCGGCTGGTATTAAACACAATATTAAACACAACATTGGTGTTTAATACACTAATACCAGTAGCGCAGTGAATTAAAGTGCTGAGGTTGTTAACTGAAAGGTTGCAGGTTCAAATCCGGGGAGTGGTGTGAGTGGTGTGAGCGTCTGCCAACCTAGCAGTTCAAAAACATGCAAATGTGAGTAGATTACCTTCCCGCCAGAGCGGGAAGGTAATGGCGCTCCATGCAGTCATGCCAGCCACATGACCTTGGAGGTGTCTATGGACAACGCTGGCTCTTCGGCTTAGAAATGGAGATGAGCACCACACCCCAGAGTCGGACACGACTGGACTTAATGTCAGGGGAAAACCTTTACCTATAGCCTCTACAGAGCCCTCTGGTGGTGCAGCGGGTTAAACTGCTGATCTGCTGATCTAGCTGACCAAAAGGTTGGCGGTTCGAATCTGGGGAGCGGGGTGAGCTCCTGCTGTTAGGCCCAACTTCTGCCAACCTAGTAGTTTGAAAACATGCAAATGTGAGTAGATCAATATGTACCACTTTGGCAGGATGGTAACAGCTCTCCATGCAGTCATGCTGGCAACATGACCTTGGAGGTGTGTACGGACAACGCTGGCTCTTTGGCTTAAAAATGGAAATGAGCACCACTGCCCAGAGTCAGACTCTACTAGATTTAATGTCAGGGGAAACCTTTATCTTTATAGCCTTTAGAGCCGTGTGCATTTTGTGGTCATCACGGTTCAAAGTCAGCTAGGGGACACATTAAATGGTCAGTGAAGATGTGGTCAAACCTCTAAACTGTCAACTACAGCATTCTTAAATTTGTTGAAGCAAGGCAGTTTTGCAATCCATGGTTTGAGGCTGTCTTGTTTCTAGAAAGAGGAAGAAGAAGCTAGAACACCTCCTTCTTAATGTTACAACTATGATTTCATGTTCCACTGAAGTGTTATGACAAAAATACTAGCTGCCTTGAAAAAACTTTTCATTTTTTGAACCACTGGGAAGACAGGTAAAAGCATTAATTAATGTACAGATCATATATTCCAGGACTGAGTCTGGAGACGTAACTCAGATTAAGCCCTGCATAATTAATACATGTGCTGAGAAATTGTAGATAAGGGGATTATCAGTTGTAATGAGATGTAAGGAAGGATTGATTTTTATGCCCAGCATGCTGTTGAGATCCCTGTCGTACCTTACTACTGTTCTGAGGGGCCCACTTATTCATATGCAACCTGTCCATCATTTTTAATTTTCAGCTGTATGTATATATTTTTCTTGATCTCAGTATGATGTTGTCCATTTTTCCCCCTAGCCAAAACTGTAAAGATGCATATCCTACGTTTCTTGCCTTACTCTGGTGTGCTGGGTTGCTGTGCAGCCAAGGTAATGTACTCAGATCACTTTCCAAAGCTGTTCTTCTAGTCTTTGTGTTAATCTTGTTGAAGTTTGGAGCAAACAAGTAGGCTAGTTTGGGAGAATGGGAGTTGCTGTGTGACTCTAATGCATCTGGAAGGTGCTGAGAAGGGAAGGAAATAGATTGCACTCTTAATAGCTAAGTGACAGGGATGAGAACACTTCCAAGCTCCTCAGTAAGATCTACTTATGGTAATATTTTACTAGAAATCCAAATCCAGCCATCGGTGCCAGTTGCAAAAGACATTTCTATCAATTGAAGAACTCAAAACACATTTTTTTCAGCATCAGAAATGAACTGGCCTCGCAGCCCCTTTGTACAAATGCCATGCTGTCCAACTCATATAATTGCTGCTGACGTTGAGAGGTGTGGCAGAATAAAAATCACGCGTGGTTCACGTCTTTACCAATCCACACACTGTCTTGTTAGAGAAAAGATCTGCCACACAAATGAGCTGCAAAGAAAAAAGTGTTTACTCATTGTTAAAGAGCAACATACAGTGTTCTCTCACTACTTTGTGGTTCACTTACCGCAGACTTGCTATTTCGCGCTTAAAAAAAATATGGCAGAAAAAGGACCTGGTGGTAATGAGGAAGAAGAAAGTAAAGAGGGTGAGGGGGCAGCTCTTCTTCCCTCCTCATCTTTACCTTCCTCTTCCTCTTCCTCATCGCCGTCTGAGCCTCTTGCCACTGCTTGGGCCCCACGACACCTCCGCCACTTCCTCAGTAAAGAGGGTGAGGGGGCAGCTCTTCTTCCATCCTCTCCCTCTTTACCTCCTTCTCGCCGCCTGGGCCTCTTGCCACTGCTTGGGCCCCTCAACACCTCCACTGCCTCCTCAATCGCAGGGCCCAAGTGGTGGCAAGAGGCCTAGCCGGTGACAAGGAGAAGGAAGAGGAAGGTAAAGAGGGAAAGGATGGAAGGGGAGGGGGCATCCCTACTTCATGATTTTTCACTTATCGTGGGTGGTCCTGGAACGTAACCCCTGCAATAAGTGAGGGAACACTGTATATACAGTCATGTGAACAGTTGCATTAACTCACAAAATGTCCTTTGAGAGAGATTTAAATGGTCCTTGGGTGTCCATATGAGAGATCTTCCAGCAGCCAAGAAGCAAAAATACTGTCTTGACAAGCTTCTGCCCAGAGAACGCAAACATGTAACTGTTGCCAAAACTCCCAGGCTCAGCTAACTTCTGGGTGTGGCCCAACCAGTCAGCTTCGTTCTTTGCATTTTTTTTAGTCAACACAATCACCAACTGATTTTTATATGCTCCAACAAGAGGTAGCTGCCAAAATACATGCTGATCTCAAGGAAATCACCCAAAGATCCACAATTCAACCCCAGTTTACCTTTCATTTATGTTTTAAAGAAAATAGGTTCTTGCCCAGATTTGTGTTATTCCAGCCACACAGGAAACAACTTCACACTCGAAGCCTGACGGCTGGAAGAGCCCTCTGCTCTCAGCCTGCAATTTGAGTCTCAGGTTTCAGCTGACTGCTTGTTGAACTGGGCCTTGGCTTACCATTAAATGCAGGCTTGAATCAGACATTTACAAGAAGGAAAAAATGCCTGATGCTGAAGCTTTTGCACTCTTTACAAATTAGGCAAGGCATACAAGTATATGCTTATCTGTACACAAAATATCCTGTAATTGTAGTCCCTGTGGGTCTGCACCACAATCTGTGCACCTTGTGAACTGTAGTTTTGTAGTTCCCAGAATTCTGTTATTAATACTCAACTTGGGACCAGAATACATAAAAAAAATCTTCATATATAAATCTGCCTGAATTTCAAGGTGTTTTTTTTTTGGGGGGGGGGGGGGGGGTGGATGTCTTGGTCCCGTCACATTTGGTCAGGAGCAAATCCCAGACTGTGGAACTCCCATCCACAAGAGGCTCATTGAAAGAGTTAAAAGAGACAAGGGTCATCTAGTCCAACCCGTGACATACAGGAAAATACAACCAAAGCACTCCCAACAAATGGCCATCCAAGCCCCTTCTACACTGCCATATAAAATCCAGATTATCTGCTTTGGACTGGACTATATGGCAATGCAGACTTTTTAAATGTTTTATTGCATTTATTGTTTATTTCTATTATTGTTTTTTGATAAGGCATCAAATTGTTGCCTATTGTAAAGCTGCTCTGAGTCCCCTTCGGGGTGAGAAGGCGGGGTATAAATACGGTAAATAAATATAATCCAGTCCAAAACAGAAAATGTAAGGGAAATTGCCTTCTTTCTCAGTTTGCTTCTGACATGATAAATAAATAAATGCAGAAAGCTGTTTTAAAGTGGTATGTTCTGCATGTATCTTTTCTATTGTATTCTAAATGTGTTTAATTTTTTAAATTAATGGTGTGTTTTAAAATAATTGGTTCTTTAAAAAAAGATTTTATCTACATTTCTGTTTTAATCTATCTAAACCCCTGTGGGTCCCATGCCAGGAAAAAGGGGAATGGTGGGCACAAACTTCATTAAACAAGACAACATATAATGTCCTTGTTTCATCAAAATAGTGTTCTTTTTTTCTTCAATCTCAACAAATTTGAATTTGATAAGTAACAGTGTTCAGAATCCCTTCCGTTTTCTTCCCCTTTAGTTCCTGCAGCATTTTCTGGACTGCTGTACTTGTATGTGAGACAGAAGTACTTTGTTGGCTACATGGGCGAAAGGACTCAGAGGTAATTCTTCTGTTTCATCTTCTCCAGACCTGTCATGTATGGATTCACTTACATGCTTGCTTCTACTACATATAATAGAAAGCCCTGCTACTTCAATTGTTGGGTTAATTTTGAAATTTCTTTTGTTCTCACAATATGTAGAAAATGCTATTTGGGTATGTCAGACCCCCCATGGACTTTGTAGAACTGAGTAGAGAACTATTTTTGAGATTACAGCAGAACAAATAATAATAATAATAATAATAATAATAATAATAATAATAATAATAATCCTAGACACTTGGGATGTGTCGGACGTGTGATCCAATACAATAACCAGCATGTACTAATCTTGTTGTGTTTCTAATAATAATAATAATAATAATAATAATAATAATAATAATAATGTTTATTCGTTCAGTCACTTCCGACTCTTTGTGACCTCATGGACCAGCCCATGGAGCTCCCTGTCGGCTGTGGCCACCCCAGTTCCTTTATATAATAATGATAATACACTTAATAATAATAATAATAATAATAATACTATATGGCAGCGTAGACTCTTCCTTGGTGAAATTGGTCACACACTCTCAACCTCAAGGGAAGGTAGTGGCACATCCCCCTTGAGGAAGTCTTACCAAGAAAACCCATCAATAGGGTTACCATAGGTCAGAAACAAGTTGAAAACACATGATAACAACAGTTATAACCTCTGACCCTCAGATAGTAAGAGCAAATATTTTCCCCATTTCCTTAATCTTCCCATCTTTTACAGGGAAACTTCATATTGGCATTCATATATACTGCTTAGTTTATACATACCATTTATTGAAAATGTATCTAAAATGTGAAGCTATTCAAGTTGGTTTCATATATAATCATTCTCTATCATTTTAATAGTCAGAATAAGTTATCTATGTCTCTTAAATGGAGCACTCTTTATTATCAAGATGCATGTATTTTGCACCATGAACTATTTTCCCAGTGATTTACCATGTGTGACTCATATGAAATTAAATGTGCTGCAGCAACACAAATCAGTGCCAAAATTTCACCCCATTAATTTGAACATCTGAGCACTATTTAACTTAAGCTTGACCTTGATGACAGAGAAATTGAGCTCTTTTGTTTTCTTCTAAGTGAATCAATATATTCTCATGTGTTGTTTTTTCCCTTTCTCTCCTTCTAGCATTCCTGGTTACATGCTGGGCAAACGCCTGATATTTTTCCTCTTTCTCATGTCAATCGCTGGCGTCCTCAACTATTACTTGGTTGTCTTTTTGGGAAGCGACTTTCAAGCGTATATAAAAACTGTCTCCAATACCATCTCCCCGCTGCTGCTCATTCCTTGACTCTCTGGAGAGAGGAAGGAGGCGAGAGAGAATGGAAGAGGTCAGCAACATGCTTCGCCAATCAATATCCAGAAGCAGATGTTTGAAATGAACCTACAAAGCCCCTTTTAGATGGCCATAAATCGAACGCTCCCAGGGACTTTGTAGTTTTGATTTAACACAGCCTTCCCCTCCTTCCTACAAGAAGATGATTTATTGTGTGCAGTTGACATGTCTTGCGTAGAAGGGTAATATGTTCCTGTAAATTATTGGGTCCCCTTTTATAAATGCATTTGGTCATTGGATTCTTAAGTGCAAGGGATTTTTTTTAATTACAAAGACTAAGTGCCTGATTTTGCAGTCTTCGTGCTTTTTTAATTTCTAGGACAGTCAGCTCCCATTCGGGTAGCTATAGAGGAATATACTTGTCAGTTACTATTACTATTGCATTAGTTTAGTAGACATAAAAATAAAGGATATAGTATATCACTTCTTTCTGGTTTGTTTCAGAGCATTTCTGGCATTTTAAATAAAAGAATTTACAATGATGAAATTATTTCCTGGGTGATACTTTTGCAGAAACTTGAAACATAGACAGCGACCATGGTGTCTATTAGACCGAATTATGTTAGAATTAATATAAGCAACATGTTGATGCTGAATTGTTTTTCAGACATGAACTTTTAGGGGAAAATATATAAATGTGTTAAGTGGTACATAATGGAAATTTTGGTGATTTGTAATTGCAAATTCAGAATAATAATAATAATAATAATAATAATAATAATAATAATAATAATTTATTTATACCCTGCCACCATCTCCCCAAGGGGACTCGGGGCGGCTTACATGAGGCTAAGCCCAACAATACAGCAATACAAATATACAACATAGGAATACAATAGTAAAATATAAAGGGAAAAAATAAAATACAAAAACAATATAAATAAGCATAACAAACAATATAAAATCACAATAATTGAACACAAATTTTTTTGAAGTGACCGGCTTGACTCTGAAGGAGCTGGGGGTGGTGACGGCCAACAGGCAGCTCTGGCGTGGGCTGATCCATGTGGTCATGAAGAGTCAGACACAACTGAACAAATAAACAACAACATATTCTATTGATATGTATTTAATCACACAATAGCCAACTGTTCACACATTTCCAATTTTGTTTAATTATGTGAAATGATGGATTCTTATTGACAAGGACAATTGTGGAATGCTTCATGAAAAACTAGACAGTTTTGGTGGTCTCTTCTAACTCTATGACTGTGTGTACATCAGGTGAAATAAGATGGAAAACAGCTTACTCCGTATCTAGCTGTGGAACACCTCTTCACCCAGCACCACACAAGAGTCCAGAAGTAGCTAAACTACAGTTTATTTACAAAAGTGTTTACTGAAAAGGAAATGGCAATTCCCCCAAAAGCAGTGGAAAGGCAGTAGTAATAGCAGTAGTCCAAAATACAAAGATCAATAGTGCAAGGTAGCAAAATACAAGTAATCCATGAATACAAGGTACATGAAATCCATAAAGTCAAGAGCAGAGGCATCAATCCATAAGCATGAGACAGGGACATAGACATTAATCCATAGGCAGGAAAACAGGAACTTATCCAAGGCAACACTATTTCAGGAACATAGGTAACTTGAGTACTAAAAATGAACTTGATTTTAAGACAAAATTGTCTCCTCTGAAGAGACCAGGAAACCAGCTCATAATTTAAGCTCAAACCTGACCAAAAAAGTCATGAGATAATTCCTTCTGGACCTGGGTTTCAAGGACTGTTTCTCACGAAGTCTTTCTGACCTTCTAATTAACCTTTCCTTTGCTCTCTCTGAGCAGAGACCTAATCTCACATTGCGGGGCAACTCCCCATCCTCTGAAGGCCGAAAAGTCCATGAAGGCCAGTTCACAAGAGGAATAGAATCCCAAACATCTTCTATCTCTTCTGCAGCTGTTGGCCCTTCACTCCAATCTATGGCCTGCATTTCTGTCTGTGATTTGGCCTGATCACACAGACTCAGTGAAAAATCCATTATTCCCCTCATCCTCTGAGGCAGGATCCCCAGCATCTTGCTGCTGAGCCCCAACACTCCGGACCTACCTTGGAGACACCGTGGGAGGTCCACATATACTGTTGAGGAAGTATCCCAAAGCCATTTTGTAGTTCAGATTGTTGACTGGGCTTTGTCTTCCTGGGGACCACTGCTGCCATTTTCCAGCCAAAAGAAACACCCTCGCAGAACCTTTCTGGTGAGATAACATGAGGCAGAAGTAGAGCGCGGCACCTGTTGGGCACCCTGTTGTGACCTCGTCAGAAGCATTATTTCCAGAAAGGTGCTGCCAGGGAGTCTAGATAAATAGCAGACTGCTCTGAATTCAGCCCCATCCAGCTGTCCATGTAAAAAATACCAGGATTTTTTCTGGTTTCCTGGAATCTCTGGAGTAACCTGTGCTTTTTCTTGTGATGGATTCATGGCTGGAAGAAGCACTTCTGCTTCAGAACTGGCTGTACATCATCTCACTGCTCCCAGCAGGTCCAAGATGAGAATATTTCATTTGGTCCATGTAAAAAAGGGTATGTTTCAATGAGTCTATGAAAATGGTAAAAATGGCTACCCAGACCTCTTACTGATGTCTACTCTGCCGATCTTCATAGGATACATATAGTTGAGCTTTTGCTTCCTTATTTTCTAAAGACCTACCTTTTCTCAAATACAGATTGAGCATCTCTTATCCAAAATATATGACTGGCTGAGATAGCAACACTTTTGTTTTCTGATGGTTCAATGTACACAAACATTGTTTCATGCACAAAATTATTTTAAACTGTTCTATAACATTATCTTCAAGCTCATATATTGAGTATATATTAAAAAATCAATAGATTTTGTGTTTAGACTTGTGTGTGTGTGTGTGTGTGTGTATGTGTATACACACAGTAGAGTCTCACTTATCCAACCTTCGCTCATCCGACGTTCTGTATTATCCAATGCACTCTGCCTCCTGCCCGGATCCACAGCTATTTCAATACATTGTGATGTTTTGGTGCTAAATTCGTAAATACAGTAATTACTACATAACGTTACCATGTATTGAATTGCTTTTTCTGTCAGTTTGTTGTAAAATATGATGTTTTGGTGCTCAATTTGTAAAATCATAACGTAATTTGATGTTAAATAGGCTTTTCCTTAATCTCTCCTTATTATTCAATATTTTCGCTTATCCAACATTCTGTCGGTCTGTTTATGTTGGATAAGAGAGACTCTACTGTGTGTGTGTGTGTGTGTGTGTATGCAAACATTCAAAAATCCAAAAAGAATCTGACATTCTGGTCCCAAACATTTTGGATAAGGAAGGATATCCTGTATCAAGATGAATGTCCTACCGAGGATGCTGTTCATCTCTCAAAACTTACCAATAATTAGGAGTCAAAAAATCATAAAAAATGGAACAAAGACATTAGAAAATTTATTTGGCTCAACAAGAAACCCAGGATTAATTACAAAAACCTAACGGACGAAAAAGGAAGAGGTGGCTTAGCACTACCGGACTTGGGTCTATATGTGGAAGCATGCACATTGGCGTGGGCATCAGATTGGATTAAGCTAAAAAAGAAAAAAATTCTGAACCTAGAAGGTTTCGATCTGCGGAGGGGGTGGCATGCTTACATCGGATATGAAAAAACAAAACTAGAAAAGAACTTTGGAAACCACTTCATTAGGGCTGCGATTATTAAGATATGGAATAAATACAAAAAAAGGATGTATAACAAAATATCGACATGGATCTCCCCGCTGGAATCATGCCAAAAAAGGGAATTAGGTTGGATAAACTGGCCAAATTATAAAGAATTATTAAAAGAGGAAAAGAAAGAAACAATATTGAGACCCTTATTAGAAGTAAAAACAAATTACCCCAATATGACCTGGCTGCAGTATAGGCAGATCCAGGAATTTTATGGGAAAGACAAAAAAACAGGTTTTGAAGTAAAAGGAAATATATGGGACAAAATTTGGGAAACTGACAAAAAAAAGATATCTAAGATATACAGAGAGTTACTAAAATGGAGCACTGAGGAGGAAGGAGTTAAAGACTGTATGGTCAAATGGGCCAAAAATTTGGGTAGAACAATCGGGCTAGACGAATGGGAAACAATTTGGAAGAAGAAAATAAAATATTTAAAAGCTTACGACATGCAAGAAAATTCGTCAAAAATATTTTTAGGTGGTACCTGACACCCTACAAATTAAATAAATATTACAAAAACCTAAGCTCCAAATGCTGGAAGTGTGGGGTAGTAGAGGGGACACTACATCATATGTGGTGGCAATGCAAAAAAGCGAGAAAGTTCTGGAAAGAAATTCAACAGGCATTGCAAAAAATTTTGAAGATTAAGATACCATTGAAAGCGGAAATATTTTTATTAGGCATTACAAATATGAAATTAGACAAAAACACAGACAAATTGTTATTCCTCTCCACCACAGCGGCTAGGATGTGCTTTGCAAAACAGTGGAGAAAAAAAGACACACCCAAAATTGAAGACTGGAAAAGAAAAATACTGGATGTCAGGAACATGGACAGTCTAAGTCAATTAATACAAAGGAGTAAAGGAGTGAAAGTAGTAGGAACCGACTGGACCAAATTTAAAGAATACCTAAAAATTAATAATTAAAAAATTAAAAAATCAAGTAAGTGAAGATAAGTATATATAGACAGAAGGAAACAAAATCAAAGACAAATTAAAATACTAGTCAAACTTAAATATATAAACAACGAGATGAAGAGAGAAAGAAGAAAGAAGGAAAAGGAAAAGAATCCAACCTTGAAGAGTCCTGGAAGTCACAGAGATGGACAAGAAAATCCTCTTTATATCTTGAATTCTTTTCTTTTAATCTATAACTCTTCTTCAATCTAAAATCTAGCATTGGATACTATATCCCATTCCCCACCTTCCTTTTTACCCCACAATCCCTATAACCCACCCCCTCCCCCCACAGCCCTTTTCTCTCGTCATCCCTTTCCTCTCCTCTCTTTTCCCCCTCTACTTGTTTTTACTTGCATTTTACGTTTGCATATGTATTTTGAAAATCGCAATAAAGATTATTTATAAAAAAAAACATTTTGGATAAGGGATACTCAACCTGTATTGCCTTTGAAAAAGAGGGTGCAGTGCAGCAATGTTTAGAAAAGAAAATAAGCACTGCCCTTCCAATATCCTTCCAGTGTCCTATATGACTTTGGACTGGGATCCATTATTTTTTATAAAGCAATTTTTGATTGCCTTTTCTATCACTCAGTGTATGTCAGCAGCTAACCTTTTCAAATAGCTAGTCGCTGTGACATTTTATTTCCCATCTAGTGTACTGAAAGACCAGCTGGAAGAGCACCCACCCTAAACACGCACATACACATATGCACAGGCATGCATTCTTACAGATAGATTGGGTAGTATTTAATCACCTCTTTACAACCTTTTTCCTGCCTAGCAGAACAGGATGTATAAACATTGATCATCTGTAATTCAACCCAGATTGTCTTTT